ACTTCCCTTCTTTCTTCATCCGGTCAATGTCCATTGGTTTCCCGGCGCCGGTGTAAGTGGTTCCCGTTCTAGTCTTCTGAGTGCCGTAATTCGTCGTCGTGGGAGCTCCTGATGGTTTCCCGGCAGTTTGCCCTGACTTGTTCGGGGTTGGCGGTGTCGACTTCTTGTTATATTCCTGCAAGGTCGATGCCTCCGCTTTCTGCCTTTGCCTCTCCTTGTACATTTCGACGATCCTCTCTTTCCATTCGTCGTAGCCTACAGGCATCAATATTTTGACACCCATGGCTGAGATCATCGTGAGGTACGAGGATGGAACTCTCCGCTTGAGGGCTTCTACCATTCTCCCGTCATTCGCGACATCTTCCCTGATCCCTGCGAGTTTAGCGAGCCGTTCTAGCTCGTCGAAGTAATCGGTGGCCGCTTTATCTCCCATCTTGTATTCTTTGATCTTCTGTTTATGCACTTCTTGGATGGCAGGGTCGATGAATTTGTCGTTTAACATGCGTTTAAAGACCGGCCACGAGGGATATCGATAATGTTCCCTGGTGGTGGATTGGAAGTTCGGGGAAATGAGGATCCACCACGTCTTGGCCTTGTCCTCCAGATAGGAAGTGGTGAAGGCGACTTTGTTCATGTCGGTCCCGATGTACCCGATATAGACTTCGAAGTACTGTTCGCAGTCTACCAGGAATCGGTCAATGTCGTCAGAGACCCCCTTGAAGGGACGCGGTTTTTGAAGGAGGTCGGGGTGGCATTGTAAGATGTTGGCATTGTGCAGGAGTGCCCCCATCGGGTTGGGCCATCCGTCGAATGGTGGTTGCTTCCATTCTGTGGGTGGTCCAGGGAAAGAGTGCAGGGAATTGTCATCTGCGACTGGGCTTCCTTTCGGGTCGGTTACCCGAACAATCACCCCATCCCGTATTGTGAATCCAAGGCGGATCGCTTCAGGGTCATCCCAAATGGGGTCCTTCCCACTCGACTCTGCTTGATCCAGGGGGGGCTGTCCGCCGAGGAGCCGACTTCCTTTGCCGGTCCAAGGGTTCTGGGTTTGAGCGGCTTGCCATGCTGGCCGATTTCTCGTTCGGATGAGCCATGAAGCCGTACTTCGGGTTGACGGGTTGTCGTCGGCCCAGCTCCGAATAGAAGGGGCGACGTAAACGGCTCATCTTGGTGGAACGGGGGGGGTACGCGGCATTGGTGCCGGTGCCCTTGGTTTGTTGTTGGGCCGATATGGGGGTATCGGCATGAGGGGGTCTTCCGGGTGTCGTCGCCCATATTCCCTCCATGCGTATTCCATCGTGGCGTACTGTAGAATTTTTTCTTTTTCAGTGCCCGTCGCATACCTATACTCAAGTCCTAAGGACGTCGCTTGCCAGCGCACGTCCTGCCATAAGTAATTTCTCCCCTGCTCATACAACTCCTGATATTCCTTGCCCCTGGCCCTCTCAATTTCTTCTCGCAGTGCTTCTTCATCTGTATCTTCTCCTGCTCGTTCTAGCCGTTGCTGATATGGATCGTCACTGTCCTCGTCGTCCTCCTCGTCGCCCTCGTCCCCGCTGTCCCCTTCCCCGAGGAGGGAACTGACGGGCTGGTCGTAGATGGACAGTACGAGAGGACGAAGGGTCATCGGGGACCCTTCCGTTGACTCGGGTACTAGGCCCGCTGTCCCCTCGGTCACTGGTTCGGGCGATGGGAGGGCTTCTGAGCCGACTGTAGCACGTCCCTCCGTGCGCTCTCGTCTCCTCCAGTTCTCGGCTATAGCGGCTGAAGAGTCGCTGGAACTCAGGGTTAAGGAATTGTCGAGCGACCCTGCTGCCCAGGAATCGCTGGAGAGCCCTGTCGGAGACGTGGGCATTGTCAGGTACTCGGAGCCCATAGGCTCCGAGGACGGAGTCGGCGTCCGACGAGATGGTGTCGGTGCGGGCGGGGTATTCAAGGTCGATGGTCTGGGGTTCCCCTGTTCTTCCACGTCTGATAGCCTCGTCCCAGCTGACAATGCTGGCAGGTCCTGTCCATGGATCGTCCTCTGAGTCAGGCTCCCTGAAAGGGGATCCGGAGTCGGTATGGAGCTCATACTCCCTAGGGGAAGCTGACCCCATTCTTTCAATTTCTTCTCTCCTTCTCTGTACTCGTCCTTGTCAGTCATACTCTGCAGCTTCGTACTGCTCTCGGGCTTCCTCTCAGACATAGTCGGCGAGCTCCTCCTGTGTTCGCCTAATTTCCTCTTCTCGCTCTTGATTCTGCTGCTGCTGTCTGACTGCTTCATCGTAGTCGAAGGGGACGTTGAGGTCCCACTCCGGGAATATCCTTTGTATAATTCTTCTCGTGGCGGCCCTTCCCCTTTCGCTGGCGGTCCCGGTCTCGGGCTCACTTCCCACATGGAGGTGTCGATACGGGTCCCCTGCTGCGGAGATGGCGATGTCCGCGTTGTCGTAGTCGGGATGGATGTCCCTTCCTCGCAGGTTGTCGACCCCCAGCCTGCTGACGGATGGGCTGGAGCCGGAGTTTGGCTCAGTGGGGGTTTCGGGGGGGTTCTGGGGGGGGTCGGGACTTTCGCGGGGTCCCGTAGCCATCCGAGCGGCATCAAGGGAGTCCCGAGCACGGTTTCCAATCCCTGAGGGAATTGGGGAGGCGGGATGCTCGGGGGAGCTGGCTGGAGTGACGTAGTTGGAGACCTCGGCGGGCTCCTGAACGATGTTCGTCGTCCACAGGTTCTGGAACCCTGTGAAAGCAGGGTTGCGGTCTCTGCTGTTTCGTCGAATGGGGTGTCGGGGTCCTTCCTCCTCATGAAGGCTCCTCGGATCCGGGTCGCTATTCCTGGTTTCTGGTATGGGTCCCCCTTGCGGGAAGAAGGACGTTCTGGCAGAGGGGGGGATGTCATGGAAAGGGAGGTCCGGGGTTACGTTGCATAGTATTTGTTGGATGTGCTGGAATGCTTGATAGTGCCTGACTATCCAAGCTGCTACTGATTGTCGTCCGCGGCAGAGGGTGATGATGGTGAGAAGTCCGAGTAGTGTTCCGATGATGAAAGCAATGAGCTCGAAGAAATCGTGATTCAGGTCGGCGATGGTTACTGGTGGCATTCGGTTTCTCAGCACAATTGGGCTTGAGAAAGGGAAGGTAGAAGCTTCGAGCTAATTGTTAAGCCCAAGCGTCACGTGAACTGATACACGTGATAAACAGATGTTCCTTTGCACTTCGAGGAATCACCTGAGTTCACTATATGTATATCCGAGCAGTGTGACCCAAGGTCAGATATAGACTCGAGGTAGAATGGTATGTATAAACTTTAGCTCGAAGCTGGGGTATCCCAGCGAGAGCTGTGGTCCTTAAATACTGTACAGATGTCTCCTAATTATACTACTGCTTATTATGTAGGTCTGTGTCCATAGTGCCCGTTGTCCTTGAGCATCGTTACCATACATAAAAGGATGGTTGTGCGTTGTCGGGCTGACTGTTGTAACGATTTGATGGGCAGGTTAGTTGTGCTGACTAAGCCTCCCATGATCTTGTGCCCTCTGACTAATCATAAGGATAGGGGTAAAAGAGGAAAAAGAAAGATAAATCATAACACTCTTATTGTATTATAATTCTCCAACAAACTAAGAGTGTATTGTATGTGTGTTGGTATAAGTGTGATTAGTGAATAGTTCTTTGCTGTATTAGTTTCTAGCTTGTATATGCAAACCACCTCTTCACCAGTTAGTGTGATATAAATCTGTCATAATCAGCACTAGTATCATCAGACTATTCTTCTAATCACAATTGATGACTGTTGCAGGCATGCCAGTTCAGATAGTTGAATATTCTTGACAGTAATAAAGTGTCATCAGATCCATGGATTGGATAAGGCATTGGCCAAGGTTTCTGGATCTATTAGTCAGCATGGACCACTTCTAGAACTTGGATGGTGTGATTATTTGTTATGAAATATGACTACAGCATAGGCATCTCACTAATATTATATCTTATATTTAATTAGCTATAGCATATAATGTCTTTAAGTAGAATATATTTTAGCTAGGAGAATAGAATGATAGAGGCAGGCAAGCCATCTCTTCAAAATTGTGACACCACTAGTAGAAGTCTAGAGTTTCAATTAAAGGAATTTGTGTTTAGAATCTTGATGAAGCAATGCAAGTTGTTAAGTCTTTCTTGAATTGGGTGATTTGAAGTTAGCTTCAAAAATACAATTGCATCTAAAATAGCCAAGAGTGTTTTTGTAAGTTCACTTAGCAAGTTTACTTACAGTATAATATTATTCTTAGGCTGAGAGTGCTATTAGTTTCTAAGAGTGTGACTAGTCAAGTGTCTATCCACTTATAAGAAGTAGTTAAACTAAAAGCACTTGTAGTTTCTGAGGCAGTTTCATCTTATCAGGCACAGTAGCTTCAAAACCTAAGTCACTTTTATTGTAATCATGTCTTACCTCTACTAGTATGAGTTGTACCTTTGTGTAGCTCACTAATATTGAATAAACATCTTTGAGCAACACTTCTCTTGGTTATTGAGTCTGCAGAGTGCTTCTACTATACTTGAAACACTCAAATTCAATATATTAGTGATAAGTATAGAGTCTTGAGGGATTTAGTTTAGTTGATTGTTTATTTTCAGCCTGCCACTCACTATTACTGAGCACATCAGCAGAATACTATATTTACTACTGAAAAACCTCAACAGATAGTGTTCTTACAGCCATCCACATTGATGATTTCCTCTTTGTTGCCAGTTGAAGGAGGAGAATGAAAGATTCAAGATACAGATACAAGAAAAATAGACATTATCAGATTTAGAAGAGGCAAAATTCTGTGTTGGAATTACAATATCAAGGAATCATGCAAAATAAATAGTATCTCTGTCACAAATTACCCTCATTGACTAAATAATATCTCAATTTAGACAGAAAAATGCCCACCCTATATTGATTCCAATAGATGCAGAACTGAAAACTCTGCTAACATGATCCTACTGATCTCTGACCTGAAGATTGAGCTGAACTACAGAAGCTGCCATATCATTCACTGGTCAGATCTCTAATTTATCTGGCAATTAGAACTCAGCCAGATATATTCTATGCTGCCCAACAGCTGTCTCACTTTCTGAATAGCTACTTCTTTGTGCATTGGAATGTAGCAGTTCAAGTAGTATAGTATCTTAAGAGAAAAAGAGAACTCAAACTTCACCTTGAAGGTTTTTCTGACTTTAAATTACTTGGCTTTACTGATTCTGACTGAGCAAACTGTCTTGATATCTATTAAAGCATAGGGGGATATTGCTTCACCTTGGGTTTAAGATTGATTTCATGAAATGCCAAAAAACAACAGATGGTTGCCACATCATCATACAAAGCAGATTACATCAGCATATGAATCCATAAAGGAAGCTATATAAATCAGATCATTATTGATGTAGCTTAGTCTTAAACAAATAAATTCAACTCCTCTGCTGTGCAATAATAACAATGCCATCAATCTTTCAGAAGATCTCTCTTTGCATGCTAGGATGGAACACATTGACATAAAATACCATTTTATCTGAAAATGAGTTGAAAGCAAAAAGATTACCCTGTCATATATTAATATGAAGAATAATGTTGCTGACTGCTTCATAAAAGTGCTGAAACCAGCAGCATTCATTCACCTTTGAGGATTCATGGGTGTGCAATGAAGGAGGAGTGATTCTCAGTGAGAAGGAGTGTTAGCACTTTATTATGTTCTCAGTAAACACTAAAGACCTTTCTTTATTCCATCACCATTTAAACAGCATAGCTCTTTGTTCTACTTCTTTCCTCAGTCTGTTTATATTCCATCATGTCAAGACTGAGATGAGGCATTTACTATCTCTTTTGATTTACTTTACTTATAATGTCATAGTTACTCTTCTTATAGATATGATATAATATAGTCTGTTTATGCATCATCATGTTGAGACTGAGTTACTCTTCTTACAGATCTAGATTCTAATATCATCAAATAAAATAAAAGCAAATATTGATATGTTTGATTCAAACATAGTACTGGTGGTTGTTTGAGAGTGCAATAACTAACTAGTTGTCAGAGAACAGTATTATAGCTTTAGGAATCAGAAAGAAAACTTGAGATAACAAGCTATAAAGCCAAAGTTCTTTCTTTGAAGCATGTATAGCAGTTATATACTCTGATTCTGTTGTTGAAAGCAAAGCAATTTTCTGCTTTTAAGATGACCACAACACAGCTCTACTATTTAACATGAAAGCATACTCAGTAATAGCATATCTATCATCAGCCATACTTCTATCTGCACTCACAAATCCTTGCAAAACTCTCTCATTACTGCCAAATGTCAATTTATAGTCTCTCATGCCCTTCAGATACTTAAAGATGTGCTTCACAGCTCTCCAATAAGCTTCTGCAAGTGCCAATATGAATTTTGAGACAGTTGTTGTTGCAAATGTGATATCAGAGTGAGTCACAAGCATAATCCAGATTTAGGAACCAACAGACTCTTTGTAAAGAATATCTCTTATAACTAAAATCTCCTGAGTAGAGACTGGTGCAAAGAAAGGAGGCAAGTGGATGTTAGTATCCATTAGCATGGAGATTAGCTTGAGATCCTTGAAGCTATAGTAATGAATGATGGTATCAATATATAAGCATTATGAGAGAGAAATGCAGTGTGATGCATGGTTATGCATTATCTCAATGTCAAGAATCCAGTATAATACACCCAAATCTGTAACCTCCATGTATTTTGCTATTTCTCTTTTTATATCTCATGCCAACTGCAATGATAATGCAATTATCAATATATACTGCAATAACAGTCAAGTTTTGATCTTTCTGCTTGGAAAACACAGCCTGCTTGATGTCATACTGCTTGAACCTCAAGTTCTCAACTAAAATCTCAATAAGACATTAATACTAGTGATGGCCACTCTATTTTATACTGTACAGTGTATTTATAAGACAGCAAACTTGTCTAGAATGAGAGCCAGACTCAGGATAGCTGAAAGGTTGACACATGTAGATGATTTCTTGGTCAGTGAGTTTGCTATTTAAATAAGTATCTTTGATGTCTACTTGGTGGAGTCTTAGATTGAGTGCTGCAGTCATAGCAAGAATAGAGTAGATAGATGTGAGTCTTGCAAGAGGAGCACAAGTATTGAAATAATCAATACTGGTACCTGTGAGAACTCTTGTGCTATAAGACAAGCTTTGAATTTAATTATGCTGTCTTGAGCATTCTTCTTGATTCAAAATACTTATTTCAAGCCAACAATATTCACTCCAACTAGCTTATCAATAATTTCCCAAGTCTCAGCAGCTTTCAACATAGCAAGCTCTTTCTGGATTGCATCTTTTCACAAAGGCCAATCAGATTGACACTTTGCTTCTGCTAGACTATATGATTCTAGTGCCTCAGCATCTGCTGTTACTATGGCCAATGTATATTTCTCAAAGAATTTCACATCTTTGAGTAGTATCAACCAAGCTGCTTCTTCCTTCCTCTCAAACTCTTGAGATGCTATAATAAGCATACCATGGACCTTCAATTCCAATCCAACCTTTGTTGTCCAACTCCACATTTGATTAGACTCTATCAGACTCTATTTTTCAGTTTCTATTTCATATTCCATTCTATATTTCACTTACTAATTTCATTTCTATAATTTATCACACTTAGATTCTGTTATAATAGCAAATAGATACATATCAGAGTTCTTGAAATCCTGACTCCTCTAGTTACAACAGTCCAGACATAGACTTAATCTCTAAAACCTGATTCCTCAGACTCCACACTAGTATATAAGCTGTAAAATTACTTATACATATCTCAGCTCAAATATCAACTTAGATTAGCTAACTCACTCACTCTTCTCTTTGACTTTCAAGTCAAACTTATAGGACTAACTCTTTCTCTCATTCCATGAACCTCTGTCTCATTGTGTCAGACTGAGTCATTATTTCATGACAATATCTCTGATTTTATGCTGTATGTCATGCAGCTTCTACAAGGTTTCTCCATGGCTAAGAGCAATCCTGTCAGGATTTATTGAGCTTCTCTAGTCTTAGCTGGGCATGATTTAGAGGCTAAAATCATGATACCCACACACTTCACTGGTCTCTGTATGTGCAATCCAAGTCTATCTATTGGCACATTCCAAACAAGAGAGAAGGTTGCATATAGCAGAATGTGCAAGGTGTGTGGGCCAAGCAAAGTTGTTAGCAATGTCATCTCTGAGCTGAAGCCCTAAGAACTTGCAGCTACTTAGTATATAAGCTGTAGAAAATCTTATACTACTTCAGTTTGAATATCAACTTGGTTCAGCCTAATAACTCTTGCCTATAGATCTTCAACTCTGTTGGACTCCTCCATCTCTCTCTCTCTCTCTGTGTGTGTGTATGTGTGTAAACCTCTATCCTCAAGTTCTTAGGGCTTCAGCTCAAAAGTGATGTTACTAATAGCTTTATATAGGTCTACACATCTTGCACACTCTGCTACATGCATACTTCTCTCTCTTATTGGCATATTTCTAATACTGACAAGAAAATCAGTATGTCTTCTTATTGGCACAAATGAGTTTTACTGTGAGTTGGCAACCAGAAGGGAGTGGTTTGATGAGATGGTTTCAAAGATTCTAGAAATACAAATTGAATGTCTAAAGAAATATGAGCTTGAGCAGTCTATACTATCTCAGAGGATGTCTCCACTCCTGATCATCAAGCCTAACAGACAGTCTGTTAGACTCAAGCATCATATGAACAGATACATGTGATAAACAGAAGTCACCTTGCACTTTGGGTGATCAACTGAGTTCACTGATGCATATCCTAATCAATGTGTCACAAGGCCTTAGAATTGGCTTGAGTATAGAATGGTATAAGAACAAACTTTAGCTTGAAGCTGGAGATTACCAGTGAGAGCAAGCCTTCTTAAATACTGTATATGTCTGTACTAATTATACCATTGTCTATTGTGTGTTGTCATATCCTTTGTGCCCATTGTCTTTGAGCATCACTACTATACAAAAGGATTAGTTGTGCATTATCAGGCAATGCTGTTGCATTGAAAGACAATGACTGACTCAATCTAGTTATGATGACTAAACTTTGTCTCACAGTCTTAAGCACTTGTTAGGCACTCTGACTAAGCATAAATAGGGGTTAATCATAGAAAAAGAAGTAAAATCATAACATTACTCTCTCCTTAAGACTATTGTCCTGATGGCTTAATTTAGAGATAAGTAGGCTGATCCTAGAGCAGATATTCTGCCCATCTTGTCATGAATTTGTGGTCATTCATTCCTCTGTTTGTAGTTGTATATCATTCTGTCCACATCCATCTGTTTTTTATTGACCCATTAATTTGATTCTGAGCTGTATCTCTTCCAGCTTACTAGGTAATCCACTGTTGTTGTCATGCTGCTACCACATGCTTTGACTTTTTGTAGTTTGTGGTTTAAGATTTGATTGATTTCATAGTGTTTCTCATCATCAATCAGATCTGGTGGTGATGGTGGATGGTCCTGGTTGGGAAATACTAGTGTATTGTATAGTGTTAATAATGTCTTGTTAAAGATATTATGTATCTTCCAATGCATAGGTAGTCAGATTTTGTATGCTGAGGCCCCAACCTTCAATGGTACAGAGAATGGACCTGTCTGCTTGTCAGTGAGTTTGCATTTGGATCATGGTAGATGAAGGTTTGTTGTATCCAGCCAAACTTTGTCATAGGCTGAATATTCATGTGCCAGCCATCAGTGTTTATCATATTGTTTCTTTATGGAGATAGCAGTGTGCTCAAGAGCTGTTTTAGTTTCATCATAGATTTTTGCCATAGTGATAGTAAAGTTGGTGGAAGCAGGGATCATTGTGTGGTATCATTCAGTTTTTGCAACTATGAGGTGATGTCTATAGTTGATAAAGAAAGGTATTTTACCAGTAGACAAATGAATCTGATTGTTGTGTTGAAAAGCAGCAAGTGCTAATCACTCTGTCCAATTATCTTGCTGATCATTGATAAAGAGGCAGAGATACTTTTCCACCTCTTGATTTACTCACTCTATCTGTCCATCAGTTGGTGGGTAGTATGCTGTGGATGTGTTTTATTTGATGTTGAGTAACCAATATAGGTTGTCAAGGAATTTTAAAATAAATTGAGGATCTCTGTC